GGATAAAATGGATTCTCCCTACAATGGATTCTCGCATCACGGAGAATATGCTGCCTAAATTGACGAGAGATTCGGATATCTTTGTCTTTCCATATATCTTTGTATGTCAATCCTAATTAATTGGCATTCTGCATTGTTATTGGCGGTTTTAGACAGATTTACGTCACAACATTGATGGCAAAAAACATCAATTTAATTGTATAAACACAAAATTTTTGTAGTATTTTTCAGAAATAAGGGAACTTAATAATGTGTAGTCTGTTAAATAGGAAGAATCGCTGCCAAAACAAAGAAAAGTAGCTTAAATTCAAGATAAAAATTGGAACAGACCTTTAGCAGGATTACTGTAGTGTGTACAATAGCATTTATAAAATTAAACGAATTAGAAAAGCAGTTGAGTTATAATTCCTTGAAATATATACAAATAAATGGTGAATTGAATTTTTTGGATGCTAGCTATCTTCTAGCAAATGAAAGTACTTTATCTTAATTGTCGCGTTTCTAAACGCGGTTTTAAAAATAAAATAAATATATTGAGATTAATCATCATTTACATTCCACAATATTTTCCCATACAAAAATTTTTTTTATCGTTAAACTTTATTTGACAACCAAAATCCATTTTATTCACTTGTCTATAAACATTATAAACATTAACTGCAAACTATTTTCGAAAAAGCTGCTGAAAAAATTGATTGCTAGAATGTGGTCTAGCATCCAAAAATACAATTAATGGTCCAAAAAATTTAGATTATAAGCGGATTTACATTTAATATTAATAAAAGGATATAATTACAAATATTTAAGGAGCAAATAATCATTTTATATAAATCTGTCTTTGATTAAAATTTTTTTATCAATTCCATTTTAAAAATTTTAGCTCGTAGACGTCCCAGATCAGTATACACGTTTAAATGATAAGATATGTGTTAAGGTGTTTTGATTACCCAAAACCTTTTCTTTCTAGGTGAATTTGAACTTTATGAGGGAATTCATTAGGAATCCATTATGTGGGATCCATTGAATCCATCGGAATCTATCCATGATGGAATCCATTATCACAGTTTGTTTAATGCTATAAGACACTAAAAATAAATTTTTTTATTAAATTAAAATTTGAATAATTTGCAAGATATTAGTTTAAAAAAATAAAATTAAATAAAAGCTATAATCTGTTGAATTATTGATGTAAGGAAATGAAGCCAGCTGTAATTTTTTGGAAGCCGGCTTTGCCGGCTAATAATTATTCATGAACATGTAAATTTGTATCCGGGTTTAGATATGTGAGGATTTTCTCATTTTGTGGATTTTTAATAGGTCGATTTCGATAACTTATCCGTATGTCTTCAAAATTATTATAATTTTTGACTAAGTTATGACTGTTTGTTTTAGCTCCTTACATATAGTCACCGTGGAGGTTTTTGCTGCTACGGAGGCCCCAAGCACGTCCAGAGCAAGTGAGATGGATATAGGTTTATGTTAATTATTCATGAACGTGTAATTTGTATCCGGGTTCAGAATTTGTATCCGGGTTTTTTATATCCGGTTTGTTTATCCGGGTTTTTATCCGGTTTTCATTTTTCATTAATTTTAATGTTATTCGACTCATCTCGAAGAGCTCTTTCTAATAATATTTATATAATTTGCCTTAAAATAAGAAAAAACCAGGAAAAAATAGAAAAAAATGGGGACGAATTCCAAACTTTTACCGTTATTTGTTTGTGAGATATCGGGGCAAAAAAATACCATATGGCCAAATGTAAAGCTCCAAAACATTTTATATTCCGTTGTATATTAGTATATTAGTTATCTCATTACTTAATTTTCATACTATTAATTAACTGCTCCTTAAAATGTATTCATTTAAAATCTAATTAAGGGGGATAATTTATTTTTATGAACAATATATCTTAATTTAAATAAAGTTTAATTTAAATGTTTGAATCAATTTGTATAATGTGATGATTCCCAGTTGCTTCTATGTATTTTTTGGATGCTAAGCAAGACTTAAGCAAATATGTGTTTATGTGTATCTCTCTAAATCTTATAATTTCAGAGAAAGTCTTGATAATCGGGAATCGTGAGCATTAATTGAATGCTCACTAATTTACATACATATACTAGTTCGAAAATAAAGTAAATGTTTTATGAATTTACCTTTGGCAATTACCATTCCCGACCAGACTTGCGCAAATCGTTTTGTTTCGTTGTTGCATTATTTTGGTTATTGTTTTGTTAGCTTGAACTAAAAATTAAAAGAATTACTTATTATTTTTATGCTGTGGAAAAATTGATTGGAATTTACTAAATACCTCAAAAATGCCTATAGGACCTCAATTTTCTATCTCACAAAGCTAGAAATAACCTACATGCCGTAATAAGTGATGTCAAAGTTCCTGTTTCGGAACTAATTTGTTCCAGTTCCATAACTAGAACTACGGAACTAACGATTATCTGGAACTAGTTTGGAACTAGAACTACGGAACTAGTAAATGCCTGGAACTAGCTTAGAACTAGCTCTGGAACTAGTTCTTGGGGGTATATTTTTGACAAAATTTCCTCGACAAAGTCTACGGGATCCTAATACTGTAGTAAATGTTTCGTTTAGTTTTGGTTCGTTGACAAAAATTCTATGTATTCAGGGGGATATCTGGAGAATAAGCCATTTGCAAAAATAAAAATCCAAAATTTGATAAAATTTCCCCATCAATTAAAGAATTATTATAGTTTTTGTAAGATCCGATTTTAAATAAAACATATTTTTATTTCTTTGTGTATCAAGAAATCTATCGTTACAATTTTTCAAATTTGATTATGAGATTTTTAATTCATGGTGATGAATTTTAAATTAAATATTTGATTTGTCTAAAGTGATATCAAAATTTTATTCAGCAAATCAAAATAAGAATATGTTTTTTTGAAAGTTATTAAGTTTTAATTAACGTGAGATTTAAAATAAGCTTATAATGTTGGATTGGTTGTCCAACGTTTAGCTATAATTTGTTTGTAATTTTTTGGAAGCTGGCCTTGACAGTTAATAATTGAGGTTTGCCTAGTTAAAACTAGGCAAAGCAGCGCATATTTTTATCACATGAAAGGCTCCCAGCAGCTGAACGTCTCAACAGGATACCTGACTCCAACAAGCGAGTGACTTTCACGGCAACGTAAAGTTGAGAAGTGTTGGTACTGAATTTATCTAAATTACCTGATTAGATTATCCGCGATTTACCTTATTACATGAATTTACCTAGCTAAACGCAGTTCACAACTTCTCTCTTAAATGTACGAGTAAAATCCTTAGTTGGAATATCCAATTTACAAAAATATTATTTAGACCTTGTCACAACTGGGGCAACTCACTACATTTTATTTAAACTTTTTACAATTTAAAATTAAAAAAACATTTATTATTTAATTTGTACTAACAAATAATTTAAGTATCTCTTGAAGAAAGGTCTTCTTGAAGAAAGGTTAAGTAAAAGTTTAGTCACCGTGATGGACTGAATTTGCTCAACGTGTATTCTGACCAAATTAGGGCTTCGTGGGTAATTCTTGGTACACCTCTTGGCAAGGTGTACCAAGAATTACAACAAAGTCGAGTTTGTGAACAGGCTGTTAATAAACAATTGAAGTTTAACTACAGTCGGCACTTATTTTATTTACCCATTGAGGGAATCAAAATTAAGCTTTGAACGTTCTCATTTGCCTAATGCTATAGCATTGCATCCAAAAAATATAAATGTAGGAACGTGTCGCTAAGGTATATGTGTATTATTCGTTTAAACCTAAGTAAAGTAAAGAATAAAGACGTTCATTTGGAGCAAAATATACGAGGATTTTCCTCTTATAATATTATTATTGGCCACAGCATTCTAAGTCTAATTTTTGGAAATAAACCTTGGGCAAAATATTGGGTAATAGTTTGGAATTCGCCCCCTCACTTTTTTCCTTTCAATTTTTTCCTAGTTTTTCTTATTTTATGTCAAATTATATAAATATCATTCGAAAGAACTCTTCAAGCTGAGTCGAATGACCCTCAAATTAACAAAATCTGACTTAACGGAACAAAGTTGTAACCGTTTGCTTTATCCACATGCATTGGCACAAAAAGTTTACCCAACTAGGATTTAGCTTCATAATTTTGGTAAGATTGATCAGATCTGGCCAATCATGGTATAATTCGACCACGCTCGAAGAGCTCTTTCGACTGATATATGATAAAGTATGTATCAAACAAAAAAGCTCAAAATGTTCAGTGAAACAATGAAAAAAAGGGGGCGAATTCCAAACTATTACCAAATATTGTTTTACAAATTGTCTTTAAATATAAAAACAGCCAAATATCCGGTCATTTTGAAATAGCGTCTTATCAGAAAAACATGTGATCAGACATATTTACTTTTAATTTTGAAATTGCACTTTTACGTCTTTATTTATTGAATTAATTAGTCGGCATTTTCTTATTTTTAAATAATATTTATATAATTTTATAGCTAAGACTTTATACTATTTTTAATTTAAATCATTTACTCCTCTAAACGGCGCTATTATTTAATTTCCTTTAAACGGTTTGAGACCTTTTGTTAGCCCGTTTTAATTTTATCAGCATTCAATTCACTCAAAAATATCACAAAATAATCTAGTTTTATCGAAGACTGATATTTGTTTATGTAGTCAAATAGAAAGCCGAAATAGAAGTTTTTTGGACAAGTGTATAACAAATAGGGCTATATAATAAATATGGCTAGGGTTGCCGTTTTCGGTTCAAGCCGACGTTCTGTGCATATTTTTCGAGCTTGGTTGTTTTTGAGTGAAGAAGCTGAAGAGCCTCGGCCTTGGCTCGCTCGATTTTTCAAGTTTCGGGTCGAGCGAGTATGAGTTAGGGGATAAATAGCTTGTGATTTACGAGAACTTTTATCGTAAATCAGGAGTTTATCTTAATTTTTTAGATAAATTTTTTGTTCATAAAAGTTAATCTTAACCAATAATAATAATTTTTAATGACAGCTTATTTCTATTTACAGATGCATTTTAATTTAATTTCTTTTTTCTTGCTAATTTTCCTCGTAATTGTGGAGTCAATACCTGACCACTATAAAACTTTAGGAGTTCCAAAGAATGCATCAACAAAAGAGATTAGAACAGCATACAAAAAATTAATGTTAAAATATCATCCGGACAAAACTAAAAATGATCCGATTGCTTTGAGATTTTCACAAGAAATAAATAATGCTCGTGACATTCTCACTGATGAGAAAGAACGGAGAGATTATGACAAAAAATTGCACGAATCCTTTGGATCGTCTCATACAACGCCTGAAGGAGCTTCTACATCTGGAAAATCTGAAAGGACATCTGGATCATCTGCAACGCCTAGAGAATCATCTAGAGCCTCTGACGGGGCATCTACAAAGCATGGAGGAGCTCCTACATCTGGAAAATCATCTGCATCGCATGGAGAAGCATCTTCATCGTATGGAGGAGCATCTGCAACGCACGGAGGAGCATCTTCATCGTATCAAGGAGCATATAGATCATCTGATGAAACTTCATCAGATTCATCAGACGAATCACAAGGTTATAAATTTTGTTATTTAAATTGCTTTTTTGTAATTGTCAATCGATTACAAGAGTAATTTTTTAGAATCTGGATTAATAATATCGTCTATTTAACTATATTTTTAAACAATAGCAATTACTATATATATATACGTTGTTTTTACGTCGGGAACCAACATCCTTTGTTAGTCTATCCGGGATAGATGAATTGTCCCAGATGAAATTATAAAAAGGCTCCCGCTTCATTTGTCAACTAATTATGCTTAACGGTTCAAAAGAGCTTAAACAATTGGGCAAATATTTTTATTAGCAGTCGTATAGATTTATTATAAGTTACTTATTTTTTAATTCAATACCGAGTTAAGCCAGTTGATAACTATAAAATAATATTTAAGAAGGAACGTCTTCAATCGGAAGATCATGGCCTTTTACTTTTGGATCTTGGCTCTTATCTAAATTTTGGAGAAAGGAAGGAAGTTCAACAGGAAGTTCAACATCAAATTCGGCTAAAAACGATTTTAAAATTTTTGTTTTTTCTGACAAAATTCTTGTCCAAATCAATGATGAAGTTAAACAAGCTGACAATTTAAAAATAAATGGGAATATAAATAAATTATTGATGTTTGGTGATTATATTAAGCATTACACTTTTGATCGAGCTGAAATTATAAAAGCAAAATCAGTTGAAATTGAAGTAAATGGGGCCTATGTTTACGTTGATCAAAAAAAGATTTCATATTATACATTTCATGAAGAATTTAAAAAATTAAAACCGACAGGATATATTACAGATATAAATGGTGGAACTAATAAAATAATTGTGAGATAGTAAGATTAAATTATAGAATATTATAGATAATGTTCATATTGTAAGGCCGAGTTCATCCTGAAATCACTTGAACAATAATGGGGCTATAAAATTCACGTTAAGTAATGAAATTGCTTGCTTTTATGCTGATATGCCTTGGTGTCTAAAGCCCAAAAATGGTGTTTTTGTAGAGATTAGAATTGTGAACCGCACAGTTTCCATAAAAATTACGATAGATACACCGATAGATATCGTTCGTGTTACGACCCGAGGTGTCCGAGATTAAACTAATGCAACAAACACAATAATAACACTTTATCACAATAGGAAATGAACAATGTGTAGGCGAAGGGAATGGGACAGACGAAGGAGACCAGTGACTAGCCCCGCTAGTATGGTCCGAATAGACTGACGTTTTCTCTGGCTTTTATAGTAAACACTTTAAGGGCTGACGCCCATACACAACACCTCCCCCCTTGAAAAAAAGGTTCGGCTTTCACTTAAGGCCGAAGCTTTACAACTTTTAACATTCACTATAGCTTCCATGCTATCAATACAATTAACACTAAGCCAGAGCGTCTAGTCTCTCACTAACACTCAACTCACAACAAAATACAAAAAATGTGGGATGACAAAAGGGCAAAAAAGAAAAACAAATTAAAATTACAACAATTACAAAGAATCACAAAATTTTGTCATCTATTCCACATTTTATTTTTCTTCTGGCAGCGGACATCTACAGTGCATACAGCAGCTCCCATCAAGGCAATGACACTGTTGATCATCACACTGCTTGTCCATAAGCATTTCACTTTTATTTTTCACTTTTCTTCACTATTTTATTTTCTTCACTTTTTATTTCACTTTCTATTGCGGCACTTCATTCACTTTTTTAACACTGTGCCCAATAACTAAACTTCACTGAATTGCATCACTACTAAACTTAAGTGAAGTCAAACTCCACAACACTAACATATAGTTAGTGTGCAGTTCGGTGCCGTTTTCCCGTGTACTTTTAGGATGGCTCGTGGTTTAATACTATCACTTGACTACTACTACTACTAACTAACCACTCAAAGGATGCCTGTTACATCCTGCCTCTGTCAAAGACTCAGGTACCGCAACACTTCACTGAACTTACACTAGGTGTAGTCTGGGTTGCTTCACTCACTTGCGCTGGAATACTTCAATCACTAATAATATTCACTTCTCAGCGCCTTGACTCACTACAATTCAATTCACTCACTATTTGGTCTTACCCACCCTTTAGGCTGCCAAATTTATTTTACTCACTTCATTATTTGGTCTTACCCACCCTTTTGGCTGCCAAATTTAACTTTATTCACTAACAATTCAAACTTCATTATTTGGTCTTACCCACCCGTAGGCTGCCAAATTTTCACTTTTTCCACTTTTCACTCTTTCAAATTTTCTGGACTTACATTCTCATGAATGCCAGACACTTCAACACTTGATCGGCAAAATCTGCGCACTTTCAGGACCACTAGGCATTTCAGCCTTACACTAGGCATTTCAGCCTTAAAATCCGACCATTGGCACTCGCCTGAGTCCTTTATTGGCCACTACTAACTCCAAAGGTCCATGCGCACTAACAAACAATTCACTCATTTCACTCCGACTCATGCCGATCACTAACTACGACGTCTGTCCACTCACAATCAAAACAATCACTTTCACTAATTGCCAAAGCAATTCACTACACTTCGCCACACTTCACTTTTTGTCGACCGCGCCATTGTTACGACCCGAGGTGTCCGAGATTAAACTAATGCAACAAACACAATAATAACACTTTATCACAATAGGAAATGAACAATGTGTAGGCGAAGGGAATGGGACAGACGAAGGAGACCAGTGACTAGCCCCGCTAGTATGGTCCGAATAGACTGACGTTTTCTCTGGCTTTTATAGTAAACACTTTAAGGGCTGACGCCCATACACAACAGTTCGGTACCTATTGTCTAAAATCTGGTGTTTACTTGGTCCGATCACTTTGGAGTGGTCATTAATACAAATATATGCACTTTCGGAACCTTAGCGATAGTATTAGGGATCCTGCCGAAAAAAAAACAAAATTCCCGATTTCGGGAACTAGGGACCCGATCCAAAAAAGCATCATGAATTCCTTTTTTTTGGAATTTCGGAATTTCGAGATTTTTGTTTGTTCTATTGTCGAGTCAATTCTAGAGACTGAAGCACAGAATAAGTCTATTATCCAAACATTCTAGTAACGAATGTATAAATTTATGAAGGATTAAAGGTGATTAAGAGGCTATTGAGGGGATTAACAGTATAAACCGAGTGATTTGGGAGGATTAAAAAAATATAGGAGAATAAGATGGGTATCGATGTAAAGAAGAGTCGCCAGTTTTTATTTTGTATATTTCAGATGCACGTTGAAGATGTTCCTGGCAACAATAAAATTCAAATTACTGGTCCAGATAACAAAATTGAAATTTTTGGTAAATAAAGTAAAATCAGAATTTCTGAATTTAAAGAAGATGAGATATAAATTTTTTTAAACATACGATAAATTATTTGTAAAGTAATTTGAAATTAGAATAAAGATAATTTTAAGAAATATTTTAAAAATAAGTTTTATTCAAATTGATTTTAATTGCCTAATTTTATGCAAAAACAGGAAGAAAAAACTGATTTGAATGATATACAGTCATCGACATAAAGATAGGAACAAAAATTAGGGCTCTGTAGTATAAAATATTAATCAGGCAAAATTTATACTCATTAAATAGAGAATTAAATGTAGTATCCAATTAAATAAAAAAAATTTCCCTAAAATGAATTTTTAACGAGAAAATGGTTAATTTCCATTTCAGTTACTTTTGCCCCTATCTTTATGTCGATGACTGTACATAATTTGTACGATATTAGTTTTTCTTCCCAATTACTCGGTACACAACGTACTCTAATTTAAAAGCCAGATTTATCATTTTTGAAGCTCATATCCTTATCCATCCGTATCCGTCCAATTTTTTAAAAACACTATAAATATCCATCCGTATCCGCGAATATCCGGATATTATCCGTATCTGTGAGCAGGTCTGGATTTTTAGTCTAATTTGGTTGTAAATTTTATTCAAATTAACCAAGATTCTTTATATTTAACTTTTTTTTGCATTTTAATTTATTGGATGAAGCTATTGCCCGGTAAATGTACATGATCGAAGACACTTGGAAAAATTTTGGGGGAAAGTTAAGTGACACTTTTTTAGCAACTGGAATCGGTAAGGACTTTAACGACATAAAACAATTTGATCACTACTATATTACCATTATTAAAGTATTGATCGATTAGAACAAGAGGGCTCTGAAGAGACCGATTATTGGGTTAGAGAAGTCAGAGAAAAAATTTACTCTGTTCCCATATAACCGGTCTCTTCAGGCTCTCTTGTTCTAATCGATCAATACTTTGTTAACCCACTCCTATAGGAGGTTGTGGGGGTTGAATGGAGTAGTGCGGGGGATAAGTAAAGTGAGGGCGATTCTGAAGCGATTCTGAGGGCGATTCTGAAGCGATTCTGAAGCGATTCTGAGGGCGATTCTGAAGTGGTTCTGAAGCGATTCTGAGGGCGATTCTGAAGGGAAACTGAAGCGATTCTGAAAGGATTCTGTGGCGATTCTGAAGGCGATTCCGAAGTCGATGCTGGGTGATCAAAAGTATTGCATCAGAATCCAAAAGGTATCAAATGTGGCCTGGGGAAATTCTTGACACGGGGGTGGCTGTAGCCTGAAGCGGGGGCCGTGTCGAGTCGGGCCGGCGGGTAATCAATCGATAATTTATTTTTAAAAACTTTTGGCTCTCAGCCACACTGAAACGGCTACTCTGAAACGGCCGCTCTGAAACGGCTACTCTGAAATGGCCGCCCTGAAACCGCTACACTGAAACGACTACTCTGAAACGACTACTATGAAAGGCTACTTTGAACCGGCTATGCTGAAACAGCTACTCTGAAACGGCACTCTAAAACGTCCACTCTGTAATAATTAAGCTGAAACGTCCCTGACCACTATTTTTAGCCGAGTAGAGATTTTTAGCATTTTTGCTGTGAAAAGATTTTAAGGAAATAGTGTTAGAGGGGGCGCGAACAAATCGATAAAAAAATAAAGAGAAATAAAGCCAAACTTGCTCTAAAAAAATCCAATGTATTTGACGTTAGGTTTTAAAAAAATTAAAAAAATTTTTTTAAGAAAAATTTAAAAAATTTTTTTAAGGTAATGTCAAACCCTCCAACAGATTTATATTGGCGGCATGTTAATTTAGTAATTATTAAATTTTAATTTTATTTTTTTCTTGGAATTTTTATACACATACCCAACTTACTGGAATTCAAGATGGTTGGGTAGTTTAAATTTTTTATTTTAAAAATTATTTTATAGGTTATGGCCCAGAAAAACAATTTTATTTTTCAAGAGTTAGATTTGCAATTACTCCAATTTTAAAAATACAAATGGCTGGGGATTTTTATGATTTGGATAGAGTTTTTAAAAAACCTAAAACTAGTTATTCTTCAAATAATCACTGCTCTGGATTTATAGTACTTGAAGGAAATAAAGACATGTCAGGGAATTTTATGAATTATCTAGCTAAAATTATTTTTTAATAATTCTAAGTTTAATTGGAATATCAGTAGATAATTTAGTTGTAATTAATCTGATTTTTATTTAAAAACATTTGATTTTCATTGCGATTATATCCCGCTTTCTACAACAACCGGGAACTCTAATCCTATGTGTATTTTTTCTTTTCTTTCGGCCCAGTCACGGATATTCTGAAATACCTATACTATGATCTAAGCTGTGCTATTTAAATTTCAGTTCTGAATTATTTAAATTTACTTCTGTTCTTTCTCATTCTAAATATTATTAAAATATATTTTTAATTTTTGACATACAACTTTAAAATATATTTTAAGACAAATGGCCCATGTAACAATGGCTGGTCTAAATACAATGAACAGAATATTGAAACTTTACAAATT